CCCCAAAACCCCAAAACCCCAAAACCCCAAAACCCCTAAGAGCAAGTCGAGTATAGATCAAAGAATATTATAAATAAAAAGAGCAAACAAAATGGTACGCAATGATAATTTTCCCCTCAAAACCTCACTTAACCATAAGCATTCCTTCTACTCCCTCTTCCAGAAACTTTCCTTTTATCCAAATCACCTATACTCCAATTTCCCTACCAAATCTCCTCTTCCCACTCCCAATCCATAACTCTCATCAACCATTTCTTCCTCTCATGCTAAATCGTCTCTAAACTGTGCTACCCCAAACTACGACTGTAACCTAACCATAAAACCTTTAATACCTATCTCCAGCAGTCTTCCTTCTAAGCTGCATCTGTAGAACTAGTCTTAACGAGCTTAGATCCAGATTCAATGGAAGAGGATAGAGGACGGCTAAGACTCTTGACTAAATATAAGATTATCACTAATCAATCATTACAATTTCAGCACTAAAAGACATTCTAATAATCTTTAATCCTACATATCAATCACCACAAAGACTAAAACCTCCAACTTAACAAACCGACCTTCAAAATCCTCACTATCCTCAATATAAAAGTGTATATCTCAATAACCCTCACATTTTCACACTAAAAAGAGAAACTAGGAAGGAAGAAGACGAATAGCTTCTCCATTATACTTGTCTTTTCCTTCCGACCCCTAGGGCAGCCCTACACCTATAAGCCCTGAGTCCAATTCCACTTTCTTGGAACGACCTAATATTAATAATGCTCCCAAGGTTTCTTAAGTCTTAGAGATACTATAAGTTAGAAAACCTAGTTCTTAAGACAGATTTGTGGCGACTCTAAGGTTCAAGAGGACAGGCTGCAAGTCAGAGTGGGGTTTTGGGTAACAAGAGGCTAGTTCATGGGATTTTTGGATCATTAGCATGGGGTTTGTATGAGAAGAGATGCGTTTTATTATGTAATTTTAGGAAAAACTTCGAGTAAGCAGCTTACTTATGTTTGTAGAGTAAATATTATGTTTCTTTTAAATTTTATATTTTAATAACCCTTACTAATGATACTAAGAATTTGTTAGTCAAAACTTATGCTGCTCATGCTCAAAATTAAGGAATAAAAAAGTTATGAACATTCAAACCGATAATATGAATATTCGTAATCAAAATTTTTAGTAAAAATGTAACTAAAAATAGTAAAACCATTTTTGGGCACTATCCAGTTTCCCAAAAATGGGACCAGTATGCTGAGAGACAAAAAGCATCCAATAGACTGAAGATTCACTACTTGATAGCTCTTTTAGCATTAGGTTTTTGGCTCACAAAATTTGTCTTCTTTGAGAATGGGTTATTTCAAGTTTATAATAACTCCTATCAACTTCACCAAAACTTTCCAATAGATCAGGATGAAGACAACCAGAGAAGAAATGCCTAAAATAAAAGTGCTGAATAGCTCCTTTAAAGTTCTGGAGCCTCCAGAGGTTATCCAAGAGGTCCCCCAGGAAACCACCTTGAGAAAGAGGAAAAGTTGTTCAAAAAGAGCAACTCCTACCAAAACACCAACTCCAAAACCCCCACTCAAAATCCCCCAGTAAGAAACCTCCTAACCACCAATAGATCCCTCCTACAACAAAGCTTCGAGACCGACTCTCTCAGCTCCAAAGAAGACGATCCTAGCCTTGGCAAAATAGAAGCTATGTTCAAAGATTATGCACTATTGCCGAGTAAGGAGATTCAAGAGAAACTGGATAGGTTCTTGGAACCTTATAATAAGTCACATAATACACAGAGATGCATGAATTTTGACGAGCGTAGCTGTTTTAATAGTAATAACTGGAAGAAAGTATCCAATTTCATCTGAAAAGAAAAGGGTGACTTCAGGAGCGCCCTCAGGATCCTCAATGGCAAGAAGTACAAAGAGTATGATGGAGTTCTTCAAACAATGATGAACCTAAGACCAGAATGGAGCGTGTTCCAAAGACATAGCTTTAAGAGACACTCTAATCCTCACAAAAAGAAAATGTTTCAGAATCGAAGAAGCGGGATCCTCAGGAGTAATACACTCCGATTTGATTTCAAATCTCAGAATGTTTCCCCCAAAAAAGCATCTAAAAGTTATCTAAGAATACCACAGATGCAACATATGAGGACAAGAGAGCAGAGGAAGCAAGATCCTGTTATTGATGAAAGAGGCATCACCAAAGTTGTTTCGATACTAAGGGGTAAAAACCTGGCTTTTGCCTTTCATATAGTTTGTCTAACCTAATGTAGATATCAACAAAAACAGAAAAGCAAAAGACTCGGTTAAGACAGATTCGACCAATTCAGACTCTGAAAGTGATGAAGAAGATTCAAAGTACAATAATTTTACTAAATTTCTGGAGGAGAATATCAAAAAACCAACGAGAAAGATAAAATTCAGGACGAATACTCAGAGAACTGTTGCTGAGATGTCCAACCATAAAATCCCAACTTTCACTCCAATAATAAAGAAAACTCAGTGCCTAGAGAGACTTACCACAGATCCTGTGAGAGTAACTCAGATAGCATCTCCCAGATTAGACCAGAAGGCAGCTTTAAACAAGGCCAAGTCCTGTAAGAACATAGGAGAAAGCTCTAGATACTCTTTTCCTACAAGTAAGACTAATTTGCCTTTTCTCACTTTGGGGTTTTAAGTTCAAAAACTGCATGCTAAAAACTCACAAAATTACTAATCCTTTTAGTACCATTCCTCTCTTTCATACTTTCTATAATTTGGTCACCACAATAGTTTATTTATCGATTACATCAAATATCTTTCTAACAATTTCTACCATTAAAATTGAGAGGTACGTAAAAGTTGTAACTTGTGGTGTGTCTAAGCCAAAGAGTAGAAGACTTGGTGGTCTTGAACGAAGCAGAGTTCTTCCAACCCTTTGCTTGTCTATGCCATGACCTCCAACTCCCAAATTTCTCCCTTACTGTCCATATCAAAAATGTGAAAAAAATTACTTGCTCCCACTTCCCAAATACTATCCATACACCTGGCCCTAAATCAACACTCAAAGGCCTCTCTATCTGCCCAAACTCTATAATCCCACCCTCACTACAGATCTTTTCCACACAGTTCAAAACATTTGTTCCACCTCCCTTTATTCTCTAAATTATTCATTGCCTAAGCCCCCAGATTTCTTCTTGGCATCATTAGGTTTATCAAGAAATAGCTATCAAAGGCTTTATAGGAGATAAACAGAATTCTGTTAAGGAAATTTTAGATTTGAATGGGGCAAGGGAGGTTTAGAAGACTTGGGAGGTTATAGGATGGAATGGTATGGTAATAGTTTTGTATAGTGCAGAGAAATGATAATGGATTTACATCGAGCCAGAAGAGTCTTCAGAATATGATAGATAATATAAGAAGTAGGGCTAAAATAACTAGGAGTATCAACCTTGTCAAACAAGTTAATCGACAAAACCCAACTTTACAGATCTGTACTTCAACCATCAGAAAACTAAGCGGCTCTCATAAGTGTAACTCTTCTTTCCTAACCCTACAGCAAGCGAAACTGCTTCCTCCCTTTTACCTAAAACCCAACCAAAATCTCCTTCCATACTCAAAAAAACTCCAAAGAAAATCTATGGAAAATCACCTCAAAAACGCAAAAACCTAATGTTCTTCAGTCCCCAAAGAAGAGTCCAAAAGAAGCAAAGGATATGTTTTGACTTAGGCGACCTGACCTACATGAAACACCTCAAGGCCAAAGTTCATGCCTAATTGCTGAATAATATATTACTATTCCATACTTCAGTTGAACCCATTTCCCAGCTTATTTCTATATATTCATAAGAAGTTCAATACAGTGGGGAAACTTCGGGGTTTTGGGGTTTTGGGGTTTTGGGGTTTTGGGG